CGTAAGATGCTATAAATATTCCAAATTAATCTCTTTATCCCTAGGAAAGTGAATTAGGACAAGCCGATAGGGCAAAAGCTGGTGGTTTGAATTTAGAAGAAAATATAGCAGTCCAGGGTGCACAAAGTGTTCTGCTGGTGTTAGACACCAAGTCTGGGAAATGACTGCTGGGAGGGACTGATTGCACAGCTTTGATGGAGTTGGTGGAAGGAGAGCGTGGGAGCAGGAAGAGGGAGGCGAGATGGTGGGAGCAGCCCAGCAGAAGGGCGGGGGAAGGGGCATGGGGAGCGGATTGAAGAAGAAGATTGAAGAAGAGGGTATATGTCCCCTCGTAGCTGGGGAGCCGCCTCACAGGTGGCCAGTGAGGTGATCTATTTCTGGCCACCAGGTTACTCCAGGGGCCGCTCCGTCTTTGACTCAGGCGGCTTCTTCCCTTTCCTCTTCCCACAATAGCACTGGACAAAGCTGTGGGCAGGGCTGAGTACAGCCCAGGTGAGCTGATCTCCGGCACAGCGTGAACTGCAACCGAGAGTTCAGTGTTTTAATTAGGCTCAGCGGGAGGGGAGGGAAGAGGATTTAGATCAATGAGTGTCTCGGACACAAGTAACGGAGCCCGACTGTTACGTACTTGACCTTGACGTGCTTAGTCTGTGGGGAGGCAGAGGAGTTCAGTCAGTGAGGATGCTGAGAGGGGCTGGGAGTGGCACCCTGGCACAGCGGTCATTTACGTTCAGCAGAAACCATCTTCTGTTCTTCACTGCTGTTGGATATCTAAGCAGTGACATGCCAAACACCTTTGAAAGCTTTTTAAGCCTCTGAAAGCATCATGGAGTAATTATTTACAGATTGTGGCAAATCAAAATCTCTTTGGGAGTGTCTGTTTAAAAAAAAAAAAAAAGGTTGTGTTTCAGCTCACATTCACTTGCCATTTGAATGCTTGGTGATCTCTGTTAGTGAAAATAACTTCAATAATTACAGTAGTACTTTGGAATGATACGGTACCACTGTGATGTTCTAATGTGTCTGAAAGGGAGAAGTGAAGCTGCAGAGTTGCTGTGCTCTGCACAGACAATCCAATATGGATTTTCAGTGACTCCCTGGGTGGGCTTTGGCTGACGCACTTTCACTCTATGTGAACACAACTGCGTGACAAATACTTTAGACCCAGATGGACAAAAAACACTGGAGTCAGTGATAACATCAGGTATCTCATGTTATTCAAAGGTATCTAGATACACTCTTTGCTCATTAATATAATTTTGTGAGGTGGGTTAGAATAGATTATTGGATACTTTCATGAATCTGCAATGCTAATCCACTGCCTCTGCATGTATTAAAAATGTTATCCTACCACTTGAAACTGAGATAAGCAGATATCACAGAGTTAAATATCCCAAATAGCAACACAAAATGTTTTCATGGTCCTTATCAGTTATTTAGTCTCAGTAGTAGAGAATGAGGGATTTTTTGGTAAGAGAAAAACATAAGCTTTGTGCTGGAATTCCCAGTTTTTGCTCATCTGATGCTATTGGTCCAGCATCTTAGAATTAGATCTCTTACGGATATAAATACTCTTTTGAGGACATAATTTTTGGACCTCTAATGTAAACTTTTGCTCTTTGTCTTGAAAAGTATCTGCAAAATGTTTACCTGATAAACAGACACAGTCTGTCCCACGTAGCAACTTTAGACAAAGCACACCCCGGCTTCCCTCTTCCCTTTTGCTCCAGCAAACATGTTCTTTGAATTGATGTGCCTGCCCTTTCTTTCAGCCACTGCAAAATATAGCTTGAGGAAGCTAAATCTGTTTCCACTGATTTCAATCTACCTTGTCAGCCTTTTCTCAGCTCCCTACAGATAACAAATGGGAATGTGAAATTCTGCTGCCATGGGTCAGCTGCTATCTGACAAATACAAACACTGAAACTCTGGTCTGCTCTATAAATATTGATTTATGAAGAATCTGAGATGGAAGTTAAATTAGTATCCTAAATTAGAAGGAAATGTGAAGCTTTTTGGTGTCTATTCCTTTTTTTTTTTTTAATTGGCAATTCTTTATGAATTGTCTGTATTTGTTTATCCATACTGATTATCATAGTGGTTTACCACTGCATTTACATCAATACATTGCATAATCCTAAATGATCATTTTGGTTTTCTGAGTTGCTCTTCTCTGAGCAACTTTTATTGCTTTCCTTGGCTTAACTGCAGACTGTCTCCACCCTCTTTCCTTCTGCAAATGATCAAATTCTGTGAAGAATTCTCTACTTTGGATAGACTATCGCTTCCCACCCATGCTGTTCTCACTGAGGTTGGAAATGTTATTAATCTAATTTAGTGTGGGGAAAAACTTGGCTAACCCTTCAAAATAGTCTTTCAAGTCCTGTAATTCAATAAAGTCCTTATTTACAGTGGCAATAGCTATTTCTCCTGGTGCTGTCCAAGCTGAGTTCTCTCTTGTTACAAGAGAACGAAGCATTGTTTTCCATTTCACAGCAAAATGGTGCTATTTTATTTTTCAGTTTGGGAAAAGTGCAGCATAACAGGTTTTCTAATGAAAGAAGCAGCTGTTATTTTCCACATTATGCTATCTTTTAACAGCTTTTGCACCAGGGACCAAGAGAGGAAGGCAGGCAGTCATATACAACCTGATGAGTGTAAAACTGTTATTCTGAAACTTGGATTTTCCACTCCTTTCCAGTTCTAATCATGCTTGTTCTTACACACCAACACATGAACAATGAATTTCAGTTTTCTGCATTGATTAAAGTATGTGATTTATTTCTTTCTTTGGACTCAAAATTCTAAGTACAAGGTAATGTTGTGTGATGATGTGGATAAAAGCACTTCTCAAGAACTGCCATTTCAGTTGTATACAGTGCTCCTGACCAAGGGTGGTTTTACTGAGGTCTCTGTTAGGTATGTCTAAAGCTGATTTCCTTACGCAAACATGCAAAGTGTGAGTGGTGGCAGTATGGAAGTTGTAAATGAAACTTTTGGAAAGCAATACAGCACTGAGGTGTTGACTGTCTTCCCTTAGGACCACCAAAGAGCAGGTGGGAGGAAGTAAGAAACTCTAGATTTGAAAAGAAATGTCATCTGGGGTGACCTGTAACTTAGTGTTGTCCTTGATGGTTTCATGGCAATTATCTTGGATATCACTTGACCATACCAGTAATGCAATTATATCTTACCTATCCCCTCCTTCCCTCCATATAAAAGAAAAAGTCAAAGCTGAAAGGTAGCTTTTCCTTCCTGTGGTGATTCTGGTGTTTTTCAAAGCACTGTGGACATGTTTGGAAACGATAAGGGCTTTGAACGAGTGTTTGACATAGGCCTAAATCTACAGCAGAAATTTCCAGATATCCTTTTTCCCTAGTGGGCTGCTTGTTTGGGAGTATTTTAGAAGGACAGCAATTCAGTGCTTCATATACTTCTGTCCTTCACCTACTTGGTGAATTTTTTTCCAACTACTTGACGAAACGGTCCCCAAAGTAATTTTCCTCATTCTGCATAGTCTGTGAGTGTCAATCACAGATCAGAGCCTCATTTGTGAGCAACTGAATTCATTTCAAGACTTGAGCACATCGATCTGGACTCCCAGATACCCAAAATCTAGGCTCTACCATTTTCAGTGCTTTTAGGTTCCATTTCCTGCCCACCATTGCAGTTCAGACATTTATGAACAAAGTGGTAGCTCCACTCACCTTCTCTCTGTGCTTCAAGGCACCAGTGACTTTGGTCTGAACTTAACTCAGGAGTAGGGCTGTAAGCGCTGGCAGCAATGTGCTGCTGGGCTGGGGACATTTATAGTACATGGCACGACCACAACCTGTCCATATACTGCCTGGAAAGAGAAGAATTAAAAGGGTTTGGGGTGGGAGAAAGTAGAAAAAATTGTCAATCTGGGGCTTCATCAGTACTGATGAAGTCAGGGGAACATGGGCCTGCCTCCCACATCAGCGTAGGGAAGGCTTCAGCAGCATAGCTCAGACTTTTCTAGAGATCCCAGAAGACTATTTGATCATTTATTCTGACTCCCCCATATAAATCAGATTACAGTATTTCTCACGATATCCTGTGGGGAGGGTTAGGTCACAGCTTGGGTTAGGTTTTATTACGTGTCTGTTCTCTGTCTTGGAGATTAAGATTTTTACTGTACTGGCAGAAAGCAGAGGGTACTGAGGGTACACTCATTCCTGGAAAGGGACACCTGGTCCATCTTCAAGCAGCCTGGAGCCTGTGTTCCATCAGGACTATATTCTAGAGGAATAGTTACCACAGAAGGACCCCCTGCCCCATTCCCACTGCACAGCCATTCTGCATCTGGAACTGTGCCTTTTGCTAGTGCACTCTCAGGGCAATGAAAAACAGATTTAGATGGGGTTTTACGTACATACACACACACACACACACATATATGTATATATATGTTGCTCCAGTCTTTTCCATAGATGGTCTTTTGTATCTGTATGATCTTGGTACCTACGTTTCTCTGCTACAAGGACTTGTGCCAAGAGAAGACCCAAAGGAATTAATCGGTTTCCTCTGTGCCTCAGTCATGAAGACCCGTGTCCCTTGGTGCTGCCTTACAGGATCCCTGCAGTGACTCAACCATCACAAGCCTGGCATCCCTTTCCTGCCGCTTTGCCCATCCCGGTGCCTGCTGCTCGGTCGCGGGCCCTGCGGCAGGTCGGGATCATGCTCCACAGCTAAGCAGTAAGTAACTAAAGCTTCAAGTGCCCTGCTAACAGAGCGTCACCCAAGCATAATCCAGGCCCTGACTCAAATCGACAAGGACAGGTTGGGCTCTGAAATAATCTCTTTAAATAGCAGCAGCCATGTCTTTCAAAGGCACTTCCCCCCCAGCCAGCGCTGAGAGCTGCTTACAGCACGTCACCTGCTATTTCCCACCCAGCCAGTGCAGGGCTGACACTTCTCACAGGCAAGTGTGTCCCCTGCCAACAGTCTCCCAGCTTTGCTTTGCACCAGGAATTACAATGAATTTTGCAGCACAGTTTCTCTACTCCAGGGTGTTAAAAAACAGAAGTCCCAGGGAGCGCTTCAGGGAAGATGAAGACTACGACCCTTTCTGGCAAAGGTTGGAGAATATTGCTGTCTGACTTAGAGCTAGAGCTCTCCTTTATCCCCCTCAGGGGTCACGGTCAGCCCTTGGGGTCCACCCAGGGCCAGGCCAATGGACATGACAACCCCTGGACCCCTCCTGCCTCCTTATGGTGTCGTAGTTGGAGTTTTGCTTCGCCTCGTTGCTTATTTAGTCGCTCTGCTGTATAGGTAATGCTTTCTTTTTCCTTTCCTTACTTTCTAAAAAAAAGAAAAAAAAAGCAAACAGGAAATTGTTTGTGATTTTCCAATATCTCCAAGGGTTCTGTGGGTATGAGTTGCTCTTGCAGTCATCCACTAGAAGAAGGGGAGATTTGAATACTTGTAGCCCATGGAGTTCAGCTTTTTTATTTCTTCATGAGCATAGTATCAGAAATAATCTTAGAGAGGCTAATGGACTGCTGAAAATTCATCTTGGGTTAGCCTGTGTCAGATCCTGTTATTACAGGTGTTCTGTGGTTGTCTTTGTTACGGTGCTTATGGTGGTCTTGAATTCCTGTTTTCAGGAGGATGCAGATGGAATTTAAGAGTCATTTAGTGCCCTTGTGTAGCATGAACTGAGGGTGTGCATCCACATGGCATGGTTGTGTTGTGCAAACTCATTCTTAACCTTTTCTGTAGTTGTTTTCTCACTCAATTTTATTATCTGGACATCACTAGCAAGATTACAACCTGCTTTTGCCAGATGTAGTACAGATAAGAGACAATTCTTGTTTCCTGCATCCTCCCAATAGTCACAGATGTTGCTAATATTTAGAACACAAATTGTTTCAGTGGGTTCGATGCTGTTAATAAACCCTCATGGAACACCAAATGGGAAGACAAGACCACATTTCTGCACTGCCATAATGGCTTGCCCAAAGTTGCACATGATGTGATCTGTTCTGCAGTGAACTGAGAATCTTAAACCAGTCCTTTCAGCATAGGACCACTCTTTTCTCTAGTTTGATTTATGCTATTTGTTCTTTATTACAAGTGAATTATGGAGATGTGTTAGTCACCAGAAAAACCTCTAAACTCAGAACACATTCAGCTTAGGGAAAAAGTTTAATTACTGCCAAACCTTAGCTGCCAAACAGTGTGCAGTGTTTGATAGTGATCATTTGACATTCACAGCTGTGAATGTCCTTTAAGAACTTTCAGGAGGGACGGGTCTGTGTGAGGGATAGTTGGTTACCTCTGCTTCACCACCTTCTATGAGGGGTGGCCTTCTGATTTGTTCTTGCGTTCAGATTACTTTTTCTAATGATATGTATTTAGCAGCTGACACCCAGTTGCCATTGCCAGCAGTAAGCAATGACATTTATATAGCATGTACAGAAGACTGGCAATGGATTATGACCACAGATGAAGGCAAATATAGTGCTAGGCTCAGGCTCAGGCTCTGCTAAATCTGACAAACTAAGGAGAGATTTTATCAGAGGTGATAATGCAGCTTGGTTATTTCTTGCATGAGCCTGAGCTTGTTTTGTTGCTGGTGTAGCATCACATGGTTTTGTCAGACCTGTGTACAGGGAGTAGAGTTATAAAGGCCTGCTCAACCTCAAGGCTTGGTTATTATGTACCCATCTGTGCTGGATGGTCCCAGTGCATACACTTTTGTCATACAGGCTGGTTACTAAGCCCTGATCTCTTTGTCTTTAAGACACTCTAATAAGTCACCCTGCGGAAGTCTTAGGCAAGTCACTCGATCTGTCTGTGCCCCAGTTTCTGTCAATAAAGTTGAGCTAATGTTTGCTGAATTTGTCTCTCTGTTAGAGGAAGATGTTTGTGATTCCTATGTGATTTAGGAACAACCACTTTGCACAGGATTTGGGGATATAAACGTCAGACATGCATTTTAAATTTCCATCCAGTTCGTGCCACTAGTTGGAGTGATACAGTCTCGAATGGGTGTTTCTAAGTACTAGTGTTACACAAAATACTGATAATTCAAGGAAGTAATGTTTGAGTGCAATATTGCCTTTGATTTGTTTTAATTGTACTGTCAAAGAGAGATCTAGCATATTTCTTCCCTGTTCCTGCAGGGGTGTGCTTGTCACCCTGTAGTGCTGTGGAGGGTACTCAGACACTATACAGTACAGTAACCTAGAATTCCTGGCAGTGAGGATGATATCTGTTATGAAGCTCCTTGCCATTTTTATCTCAGCAAGCTTCAATTTTTCTACCGTTTCTCTTTCATAAAGTCCCACTTGCACAAGTTGCTGAGATGCTTTTGATAGTTGCTGCTATTGCAGCATTTGAATGTGTTTGGGGACAGATAGAAAGGTAGAAGTTAGTATGGAACACAAATGTTTAGGAGCTCTGGGGAAAGGGGATTGCGACAGACAAGGAAGGTATCAGAGGAGTGCTGGGACATGGAATTATAAGGATTAATGAAGCTGGGGAAGTTCTGGGTAAAAGGGATTTGGATGAGGGAAAGGGTCCTCTCTGTCATATCCTGGGATTACCTCTTCCTCACTCCTTTGAGAGGAGATCCCAGCTGCAATCACATTGCAGTCATAAGCTGGGCAGGCTGCTACCTGCAGCAGGCTGCTCCCCCTGCCTCACCCCCCCTACATGACACACCTCTGCTCAACACATTGAGGAAAGAGCCAGAAGTGACTTTAAAGAGGTCACCTTTTGTTGTAATAAGTATTCTGAACTTGCAGGCATAAGACCTGAGCCCATTTATCCAGAAAGCAGATGACAAACATGTCTAAAACTGTATCTTACCAATGTCTGTTGGTCAGCGTGCTCCAGGAAGGTGTTCAGGGGGCCTGAAGATGACAGCAGCATATAGGTATGAGCTTAAGAAGCCCCTACACCCAAAACATAAAAGAAGAAGGAAATAAAAAATCCACATATAGAGAACATGTGTATATGTGTGCTGATGAGTTAATTACAGGCTAGCCCCTGTTCATTGAGACAGTTTGAAGGGGTATTCAAGCTTAACATTTTGCCACTGACCAGTCCAAGCCAGGCATTGGAGTTAGAAATTCTTGTAATTGCAAATGGATATATGGATGCTACAGAACTTGTACCAGACTGTCAGTCCCTCTTAATGGTGAGTATCACTGTGAATGCAGATGATAAAAGCTGCTGAAGAAATGAAAAAGAAATGCCAAGTTTTCAGTCTTACACTAAAATTTGTTTCCTTTTGTGACAATTTCATTTCCATCTGCAAAGCAGTACAGTAACATGAGAATGTATGTCCATAATTCCAGCTCCATATCTGCCTGAAAATGTGTAGTTGTTTGAAAGAGGTACAGAGGCTGCCCAATGGGCCAAATGCTGACGTTGGGTTTATCTGCAGTCAAAATGGCAACACTGATCAGGCCAAAGAGCAATCTACCTCTGTGTGTCCTCTAGTAGTGACCAGTAATGGGAGCTGGGAGAAAAACAAAAGCCACCTAAGATGCCTTCTCTCAGATGCTTTTGTGGAGTCTGCCAAGTGAGTGTTTAGGGGCTTCCTGAATCTCTGATTGATTCTTGAATGGTGTGTTTACTGGTCACTACTTCCATGTAGTTGCACAATTCTTTTAGGAGCCCATTTATATTGTTGTCCTTCATAGAATCCTCTGGCAATGAGTCCTGTGAGGTAATTATTTTCCCTAGAAGGCAACTTTTAAGTCTTCTGCCTGATACTTTCAGGCATTCATATGATCTCCTCCCTAACATTTATATTGGGAGAAACAGTGACTAATCCTTCACATTTTGTTATTCCCTGGACGACTGTGACTGCCAGTTTTTTGCTGCTTCAGTTTTAGATGTTGAGGGGATCCAGTACATTAGTTTAACTTGTTTAGTCTGTGTGATGGATCCTGAGGAGGCAGTCTGCATGTGCTTCACTCAGTGGGGACAAGTAACTGTCCCTCATTGCAGGATAACTGCTTGGACACTTCTTTCTCTGTATAACAAAGGCAACAGTTGTGGTCTTTAGGTATAGCATGCGCTACTGCTTTTTATCTTCTTAAATTATTTTTCCTGGGTTTATTATTTTCTTGATTTATTAATATTGTTATTTTTCAAAATTTGTTTTCCCTAGTGTTGTTTAACTTGATGAAAATTTTCAGTATGTTCAAAAAACCAAACTGGAAATAGAAAAATTATTCATTCCGAATTGTTGCTTTTTATCATTCTAAGAGCACGTTCCAGTACACACTATCTTTGCATTGACTTTGAGACTTTAAAATATATAAAGCTATCTGCTTAAACAAATGATATTTTTTCCTGTGTCTTAATTATTTATGGAATGTCAGCATTGGGATCATCTCTTTTTTTTTTCCAGTTACGCTGAGCAGCTGTTCTCGAAAAAGTAGGTTTATAAACTGTATTTTCATGTTTTCTTTTACTAATCACTTTAAAGGTAAAATGTTGCAATTTATAACCATGTAACTAAGCTTACCAGCTGGGTATTTGTCTTATGGCTGGAAATAAACAGATTTTTTAATGAAAACTTTCCTAGACAAACTCCAAAAAAGGAAAAGCTCCATTTGAAAGGAGCAATGTTTTATAACGCTGTGGTTTGTATTTATGTTGGCTCAGATCTTCATCTGGTGGGCATGATTGCTGGAATAGGGGCTATATTTTGTTACTGTGCATGAGAAGTCACATGCTGCCTTTTTGTGAGTACTTGCATGGTTTGCTGCCTGCTTTGGCTGTTCCTGCAAAATCTGAGTTAATCTCTGCCAAACATATGAGCTGCTTTTGAGGCAAGAAATTCTTTTGACCCAACAGGAGTTTTAGGGCTCTAGGAAGGTCTGTGGCAGAGCCAGGTGGGCTCAATATGGAAAACCACCATTTACTAATGTAAATGAAAGATATGGGTGTAGAAGGAGAATCAAAATTATTCTGAAATATATACATACAATACCTACATATACAGTAGCATGATGATATTCCCTTGGTAAAGAGGCTGCTGACCTTTCAGATGCAAATGGATGATGGTTTCCATATTAAATATTGAAATGGTAATATTTCAGATGTCCTTTAAACCCAGCTCAAGCTTGAGAAGCTGTTTGACTTTTGTTCTTCTTCTCCAGTGGTCATGAGGTGTTGTCCCCATCAAGATCCTGAGCAGATACTCACTGTTCATGAGAGTGGTGCTGCAGAGCAAAGACCAAGAATCTGATTTACTTCCCTCCTTTTTTTAATGCCAAAAAAAAAAAAAAAAAAAAAAAAAAAAAGAAATCCAAGAGTAGGACAAAAAAAAAATCAATATCCCATTTTGGTCTTTCTTTTCGCAGATAAAAATATTTGGTGGCACTAGGGTGGTGAGGCATTACCCTGTCGTTTGTACTTTCTCACAGAATCCTGCTTCATCAGTAGAGCTATCGTGGTCATCTTTGGCTAGTGTTTTTTTAATGGGCTTTTTGTAGTTGTTGCAACAGATACAATGAAAAAGTGAGACTTTTTCTCTCATCTCAAGTGCTAGTTAATAAAATTAAGAACTGACCCAGAAAAATCATGATTTTTTGATCTGCCTATTTTTTTTTACCCTACAAACACCCTTTTAACCCATTTCCAGTGTAAGAAATATAATTCATTGCTAATGCTTGCTAAACATTTTAGATAAGATGTTCAGAAATAAGATGTATATGTTCTTCTTTTTTTGGAGTGGTTGTGGGTTACTGTGATATGGAAAATGGGGTTTTTGGAGGGAGAGGTAGGGAATGAACTCTAACAGTGCTGTGGCCTCCTAGATGATGATGCTGTTGTTTATGCCAGGGGCTGTGCTGTAGCTGGTCTGTTACTTTGCTGTGATCTTTACTGATCTTTACTGTGTAAAGCCGATCTGACTCTCAGCTTTGCATTAACCTGACTAATATGCACCAGAACTAACACTGGAAGCTTAACATCTTTATGAAATGTTTCAATCACCTAACCCCAATGGAGCAGAAATGCAGAAAAGTACAGAGTATAGCTACTTGATAGTTATTTGTTTTAAAGATAGAATGCCTGCTGTTTGGGTGTGTCAGCTTGAAGATACAGTATGAGGAAAATATTTTAAATCACGAATTTCAATATAAACAAGTTACGTGCATATACTTTATGTATCTAAGAATATTAGTGTTCTCATTAATTTTGGAGAGAGAAGACCTTGCCACGAATATTGTCTCCTGTGAGGGTATACAGAATGATTGATGCTACTTGGTATATTACTTGATTCAAATAACAAAACATTTTACGCTGCCCATATTGTTATGTGAACTCCTCTGTCGAACAACTGGAAGTGTAATAGGAAGGACAGCTACTGGCACAGATTATTCAGACCATTAAGAAAATGTATGATACTGCCCAAAGTGGGGCAATTGCTCAAAACCCAGCTGTTTCTAAATATTTAAAAATTCTCTTTGGAATTATAACAAAGGATATTACAGTACTGATCGCTGCTGTAAAACTAGGATAGCATTTGCTTTAGCCAGCTCTGCTGATAAATTTAACTGCATAACTTAAACATAAATTATTTTATGAAGAAGGTAAATATTTTTCTGTGGGAGATAATGGTGAAATCTCTGACATAATTCAACATGTTTGTTTTTTAGAAAACACTTTCTACCAGGTGGATTAATACTGAGTCATGTAGAGGGGCTTATACCATCTGTGTAACCATAGCCACAGACCAACAGTGGTATCAGCTCTTCTTCAAATCGGTGGTCTTCTGCTTAATGCTCCTTTTTCTCCACATTATTCTCCAAATTCCAAGAATTCCTAGAAGTTCTGCATTTATTTCTTAGTAAGGCTGGAATATCCTGCACTACAGTACTACTACTACTATCCACAGCACTACGCTGTGGACCACAGAGTTAAGCATTTGAAGGTTGGAAAACTGGCAAGATTTTGTAGAAGTGTTGTCTCTTCTAAGTTCCTTGGGGAAGGAGGTTTGTGTGGCATCACATTGCTGTCTTATCTACGTGTGTTTTTATCTATGAAATGTTAACTCAGAGATCAGGGCACCTTATTCTTCAGCTCTGTACTAGGATATAGCTGTTATCCCTTATCAAAGTAATTTCCTTCCCACCATGAGGCAGCTGTCAAGAGTGTGCTCTGCAAGTATGCAAGGGCAGAGCAGCAGAACCTCTTGTGTACAACGTAGTGACATTTGTTACTGCTATTAACAGTTTATGGGAATGGTCTGCACAGCTATTTTGCCTTTTTTGAAAAAGATAGAGCTGCATACAGAAATTTCAGTTGGAATAATTCCAGTTATTCCAAAATTTCTGGAAGCACTGAACTAGGATCATTGCCAGTCGAGTGCTAAGGAAGGTCTGGCTGCCCAGACAACACAGAATATATATTTGTTATTTTCTTTATGACAGTTTCCCAGTTTGTCCACATGTCAGGTTATCTGTGGCTTTTCTAACAGCTGGAAAGTTACAGTAGCTTTCAGTGCGCCTACAAAATAGGTAATATGACAGTAATAAATTCAGTCTATTTAAGGCTTGCAAAGAGCAGCTGAGATGTATATCCTTCTTAAATGCTAAATTGTCAAGCCTTTAATCATCCAAGCTGTCCTAACAAGTTTCTTTAATTTGTTTTTAGGGATGACAATAAAATAAAGAAACAAGATGTCCCAGGACTTTGTGATCTTCACCGCTGTAAGGATGGGTTGATGAGAAATGGCCTTATTACACAGAAACCACCCTCTATCAACCCTGAGAGACTGAAGGATTTTGGTGAGGAGGATTACCTGAACGGGGATGTGAAGACCTGGGAAATGAAGATAGTAAGCCGAAATGAGGAGTTACTTACGGATACCCTTTCCCGCATCCCTCAGTCAAGCAGTACAACCATCCTGTCAAGCTGTAACAAGCTGATTCGATTTGAAGATATCAGTGCAGCAGCCTTCAAAATCCAGTGTGGTGTTCAGAAAACCCCCTGCATGGTAGGGAGTCTTTATGGCTTTGCATTCTCTCAGTGTTTCTTTTCTTGCTCCTTGTGAAAGCTGATCTGAAATGAAGGAAGAGCATGTGTGAGCTGCAGCAGATAGATCTGTGTAAGAAGACTCATGTTCATATTAGTTGTATTTAACTGTCAATTTTCTTCTTACCTGTTTACACTAACCTAAATCCTCAAAGATATCAGCAACCTGTAAACAAAGGATAAACCACATTAGGCATAGACTTAATGCACTGTGGTATTATACTCCCAGTGAAAAACTCCTGCTACAAGGAACCTGAGTTTGTGATGATGGACTGCAGGTGTTTGGGTAAAGAGTCTTGTGGGAGGGTCTGCTTTGGAACCAGCCCTTATATTTGGAGATTTTGAAGGTACAGATTTCCCTTCTCAGCCTGGCCAACCTGGCGAGGCTGGATATGTTCTGTAATGAGGTGGTTCTGCCATGTGTGTCTTCAACAAAATAAGGCCGTGAAGATGGACACACACAAATGTGTGCACCTGGGATCAGTCTAGGAACGAAAATGACTGAGGCACTCCTATCAATGTAAAGCTTTTGCTAAGGCATAAGAGAAGTACAGTGGCAAGCTATATAATTCATAGTGTATTTCTACTATTGGGAGCTCTTCAGAAAGTCTACTCTGGGCACTCTGTGGCTAATCTCCTCTGTTCCCTTTGGTGTGTGAAAAGAGTGTCTTTGCCAAATGGCAATTCCTAACAGCAGCCCCAGATCGCTCTCTCAAATTAATTCTTCTCTGCTGCTGACTAGGACACCCCACCAGCATCAAGAGCTGTGGATTGTTTTTCTGGCATGCACAGGGAAAGGACCTTGCAATCTTGGTCCCTGCTTGGGGTTAGCTGTCCCTGGAGTGAAGTGGTTGGGTCCTCAAGGTGCAGCAGTTTGCCCTGGTTCCCAGATAGTGCCTGCTGATCCAGAGATATCATAACTACTTTCAGTGTGATTTTTTTAGCCTAGAGTTCCCAAAATAAGGATAACTGTGCTTTTTGTAGCACACTACTGAAGAAATGTGTCTTGTGACAAAGGACATGACACAAGACCATTTGGGACAGTAAGGTGGCGTAAAAGGCTTGGCTGGAATGCAGGGAGTGAAAATGGAAGCATTTTGCATTCATATACTGCCTGTTTAGAGTGACACGAGAGTAAACAGTCCTGCCAGCTGTACCTGGGTTTCGTTTCAGAGTGGAAAAGTTGGCTTGCTTGGGAATGCAGCAAGGCGAGCGAGCAAACATGTGCAGCAAAGGTGGTTGGGGAGGTCAGTGCATGGGTGAACAGGGGGAGTGTACCAAACTCTTCATATTGCACCTTTTGTCACCAAAACTCTCACTGTCATGCTTGAGAGTAAGACAGAAGTGTCAGTCTTCTCTTTTTGTGGAGAGACTTCCCAGGAAGAGAAGATTTGAACTTATATTTCACTGCCCTTCTCTGTATTTGGCAACTCTGGTCATATTTGTTAGATAGATTTAATCATGCTGTAAAAAATTAGGTCTATGGGCAGGGAGTGGGAGAGTGTCATGGCTTAATTTGGAAAGCAGAACTATCTAACACTTTGCCCTTTGATAGCCATCTGTTCCCTGAACCTCATGGCATTGTGCACTTCTGCCAAGCAGTTACAGGATACTGCCTGTGTACATCTGCCAGTGTGAGACTGCAGCAGCCTTGGCCATGTGTACTGCTGAAGGACCACATTCACACCTTCAGCTCAGATACATCACATCAATAGCTCAAAACTAGTAAAGTTTGTCTTGGCCCCATCCCTGAGCCATCTACTTGCTCCCAAGGTATGACATGAAAATGGTTGGTATGAAAATTAACCAACCAAAACATCCTAATGCAGGCAAGACTGCACCATAGAGTCCAGTCCATCAGGTGTCTGTGTAACACGGAACTTTTCATAAACTGATGGTGCTCCTGCTCACAAATAGTTAAGTTCACTTTGGCCAGTTCACACCGTTTGTTCTCAGACAGCTTTGCCCCTTGTGCTGGTTTTTGGATAGGGTAGAGTTCATTTTCTTCACAGTAGCTGGTATGGGACTGTGTTTCAGATTTTTGATGAAAATATTGTTGATAATTCAGGGATGTTTTTGTTACTGCTGAGCAGCTCTTACACAGAGTCAAGGCCTTTTTGCTTCTCACCCCACCCCACCAGTGAGAAGGCTGGGGATGCACAAGGAGTTGGAGGGGACACAGCTGGAACAGCTGACTCCAACTGACTCAAGGGACATCCCATCCCATGTGACATTGTGTTCAGCAACAGAATTAGGGGGAAAATTTGCTGGGGGGCCTGCTGCTTGGTTGGTTGGTGGTGAGCAATTGTTTTCAACTGCATAAATTGTCTTTCTTGGGTCTTATTTACCTCTCTTTGTTATTGCTTTTAATGACATTGTTGTTGTAGTTGTTAATACTGTTATTATTATTATTATTATTACTATTATTACTGGTTTTATCTCAGCCCAAGAGATTTCTCACTTTAACCCTTCCAATTCTCATCTCCCTAGCAGGACAGGGGGAGGGAAATGAGCAAGCAGCTGGATGGGGTTTAGTTGCTGTCTGGGTAAAGCCGATGCCCCTCAACTTAAATAGTTCTTTTCTCTTGGGTGTCCCTGGCAAATTTATGCAACTCATTTGTATCCCCTTTCTGCATTAACTGTGCCAAGCTAAATAGGCTCACTTTCTTTAGTCTCTTTTTATGAATATTGTTTTCTAAAATTATCAGAATAGTGGAAAACATATATCCCCCCCTTATTTTATTGTGAAAATAGCCCATGACTGTTGTTATTCAAAGTAATGTTCCTGCAGAAGTCATTAGTGCATTTCATGCATTGATTCAAAAGCACAGAGTGGTGTCAAGAAAAACACAAATAACCTTTATTTTAACTCACCGTTGAGAAGTAAGAGCCCCTTTCAGGGACATTTGTACAGATTAAAAAGTGAGCATGACTCTAATCCATTCAGTTAATTGACTGGAGAAACACATTGCAGGGTGATTCCTAATCTACGTTTAAGACCATGGATGCAGCATCCTGGTTCCTTATGCAGGAGTTTGCCTGGAGACGAGATATGGCATCATGAGTGAATTGTAACATATCAAAGAGGTAGTGAGTATAGGAAAACAAGGAATTGACATTAATTTGGACATTTGGTTTGGTTACTGATTTAGGAACTTTAAGGGTTGTTTTATGTTAGCTTTGTGGATGCCAAATTGAGGGTGTGATGTGTGTTGTACCTTAGGCATGGTATCTGTAGTCCTTAGAAGATCACAGTGACAAAAGGGAGAACTTACAGGCTGGTTCAGTCAGTCTTACAAGGTCACACATGGGGTCAGTACAGCTGAATATAGCACTGACACCTGATTTGTTAGAAGTGATTGCTATATTTAGGTTATATGAAAAAAAGGCTCAGTTAAAGGAAGCAGAAAAGGATAACCTGAAGAGTTAAAACACTGAGTATCAAAATTAAAGAAAAATAACAATCTAAAGTACATCACCTCTGTGGTACAGAATGACTTAATGACACATTTTTAATTGTAGACTTAGCAACTTTATAAATTCACAGGATTCATCTTCTTAAATCCTTTTTCTTATAGTTCACTCTAGGATCCAAGATTCTGTACAAAAACAAGTACATATGTGAAGAACTAGTAGCGTTTCTTGTATAGTGTTCTTGGTCTATTTTGCATAGGCATTCTCCGTAGATTAGGCTGTTTAGGGTATAAACTATTATCCTATTAGTGTACTAAGCACTTTCCATTGTTTCAGTTCTGCAGCCAGATCTGCAAAGGGGCAGCAAGTCGTAGCTCCTGCCAGGATTTTCAGAAGGAAAATAGAGAATTTGGCCCCACCTATGGGTGAGGAACTTAACACGTGCTTGTAAATCCACTAAAAAGCCTTGAAACATTCACCTGAAATATTTAGTTTAACTGTATATTTTAAAGCAAATATCTGTTTCAGATATATTTAGTTTATATAAATTGACTTTGAAAGTCCCACAGTCTGAAAAATTTATTGGTACATATTACACTGTATGCCTGACACTGCCAGATACTGTTTGAGATAAATATTTTGTCATAGTGTCTTTTAATCTCTCTCTCTTTGTGACTTATCATAAATGAGTACTTGATCCCCTAAATCCCCAAGTCTTTGTTTGCTTTGGCAGCCAATAGAGGACATGGAGCCAATTAAGAAATAGAGATACAGTAAGCCCAGGGAGCTGGAACCCACAGGCTTACTGCAGCTCTATTTCATAAGTTATCTTGTTTAAAACTCTTGGCTTAGTGAATATGGTAATAGGAAATTAATATGTTGATGCATTCTGGGAGGATCTTATTATAAAACTTAATAAATATTTACCATTAAAAAAATATAAAAAAAATCATGCACTTGGGCACTGCTTCACATGTATTGTGCTTGCTAATTCCTCTCAGCTCAGGGATCCTTTCTGTTCCAAACAATAAGCTTTTTCAAACAGCTGCTGCTTACACTTGCAATCCCGGGAAATAATTTTTTAATTATTTCCATCATTCTTTGGGTAAAAAATGTCTGTACTAATGTTGTACTGGCCTTAGTGTGCAAAATAGGCAATAAGCAGTAGTGAATCAGTGGCAGAAAACATAGCAGAGCCATAGTGGGGTTCACGGAGGAATTTTCTCATGGCTTTTCTGTCTATTAGATGACAACCTTATTTTTTTTAGTATTCAACATCCAGTTCTGGCAAGTGCTGGAAGCATGGGCTTTTAAATAATTGAAAATACTTATTTTAATATCTGTATTTGAACAATAAGACCAAAACAAGTGCTCTTTTCAGAATTCATAGTGGCACGTGGTCCATATTTCGCTGCTGCGAGTTTGAATATGACTTCCATAAGCCAGAAGAACCTGGTAGGTAACAACACACTGCCATGTATTTCTAAAGAAACAGATGACAAATTTTACTTTTTAGAGCTCACATATAGCTGTGGAATGCATGCTTCACCAGGCAGCTGATGAGGCGTGGAAGATTTTTCTTAATTTTAGCTACATTCCCATAATATTATTTATATCCTCCAGTATTCTAGGCTATCCAAGCAGTATGGAATGGACATCTACCTGAAGAAGGAGTACCTCCAATACACAGGATCTGTGAAGGAACGAGGTGTACTTTACCTTCTGACATCATTGCCTCAGGTATAACAAAATGCCAATGCTCAAAAAGAAATAGATTAGTTCTGCTTCGCAAAAATGGAGCAGAGTTGAAGACAAATTTACCTGTAATCTCCATGGAATCACAATGTTTCTTGCCAGAAACCATTGTACTGAACACAGCGTGTAAACATTGATAGATCTGCAAGTATCTGAATGTAAAATACTACTTTAGTTATGACTGGCCAACCTGCTGGAGAAATGCTTGAGAATACTTGAAAGAAAATCTTGCAAAAAGCAAACACCAGCATTTTCCCGTGGCATTTATGTGCAGGTGTTTCTATGTGTACTGTGGTTCTGACATGTTGAAACCGCCAAAGTCATGACTGATGATGAAATTGAGTTACAATGAGTGATGTGAAGGATCTAGATCACCGATTGATTTTGTAATGAATTTCAGTATCATTACAGAAATAGCTTGTTTATCATTTGCCATAGGAGGTTATTGAGTCTCTGCAGCAATAATAGTCATAACTGGCATGATACAGCAGCCCAGAAAAGTGACTATTCCTGCACTTTTATATTAATATAAACGAAATCTTCTGTTAAAAGGAAACCTGAAATGAAATAATTTCATACAGGCAGGGAAGAGTTATCGGTTCTAAAGGGACCAGATATCAGCTCTTCTGTGATCAGCTGGATCAGCTATTCCCAACTGAAAAAGAATTAAACCCAGAGGAATGCAGGAATGGGGATTGATCTTGTGCTATTTTAGCTTTGTGTGTAAATCTTGAAATCACACCAGACACGCACATAGTGTACCATAATATCATGATTTGATCAGCTAGTAGAGGGGAAAAAAGGAAGTCAGATCATTAGAATGATCCATATTCATATGGGACAACTGCGTGACAATATAAAGTGCAATAAGCGACCCTCTTTTTTAGGATCAGCAAAGAAAAGGAGTGATCGTGGCTTCGGACAGTAACTTTTCCATGGCTGTTGCCTACCATGCCTCAGAGCTCCGTATTCCAGTCTTTGTCATCATGTCAACCAGCACATCTCCGGTCAGGGTGAAAATGTGCCGTGAGTACGGAGCCATGGTTATATCCTATGGAACCACAGCTAAGGACTCCCAGATACACGCAAGGAGGTTGGCACAGGAGAATGGTTACCTCTACCTCGAAGAGTAAGTAGAAAGTCAGGCTGATTAGAAAGAGTAGGTTAGATGTTTGCACAGCTCTGCAAAAACAATTGGTTTTGTTAAATTGTGGTCACAGGTCATCAAAATGTTCCTATTACCAGGAATATGGACTGTTCCCAGGCACAAATCGTGTCTTTCTGTTACAGCTGGGGATGGAAACCAAAATGAAACATTGTTCTCTTCCCCCAGATTAGGCAAACTTCCTTATTAGGAATTTCTATGGGCAAGTATGACAGTGGATATATGTTAATTCTTTAGGAATTCTGTCAGAAAGCACTAAGGCTAGTGTTCATTTTTGGTCTCGCTGTTTGGAGTTAGGTGGGTAAAAGTTAATCTTTAATGCGAAGGGTTCAGTGGCATAAAGTAGAGCAAGAGAAGGTTAATACTGTAAAATTTTCACATATCTGGTGTGAGAGACAAAGCTGTGATGCTGCCTTTAGAAAAAGATGATTAAGAGGCTACTTCACACATATATATTTAAAGTAATTAAGGATGAGCATAAGTCTAAGTTTGAACTATTTGAGGCCAGTGCACAAGTCAGATCTAATAAAAGCATGACTAGAATGAGATAAGACAGGCAAAAATATTTAGAACAGATAGATTTTCCCCTTTTTTCTCTGCAGTCTCTTCTTCCTTTCCTTTTTCCTTTTTCCTTTTTCCTTTTTCCTTTTTCCTTTTTCCTTTTTCCTTTTTCCTTTTTCCTTTTTCCTTTTTCCTTTTTCCTTTTTCCTTTT